GACACTCATAGTGGTTTCTGTGATCTAGAGTTTTGTGCGGATATATGGAGCCTGTTAAGGATGGGTTGGGGTGATCTGGCTATACAGTCTCGTTACTTACACCACAAAATGGTCGCATGAATCAAGAGCAACCAATGAAAATGTTGACAGCTTAGATGATTTTTTTAGGGAAGTTAACTCAAACAGTATGAATTTTATTACTTATTGTGAAAATTATACAAATTTTTTTTTATTACTACCTTTTTTTTTAATACCCAGCGTGCCTTTTTTTACGTTGTGAGAAAAAAACGTATTTACAAGAATGCCATTACTTTTTACTGGCATGTAGGCAAAAAATCGGCTCCACTTAAGAATGCAGCATGAAACTCAGCCGTAATACTTGGCGATTTTCGTCATGGCCGATTTTAGTTACGTTACGGCTGACTTAAAGAATGCAGCTGACTTATGATAAATAAGCTGAGTTATGAACATAACTCAGCCTATCGTTACGGCTGACTTAAATAAATCAGACTGGTTTATGTGAGAACAGCTGAGTTACAGTCACATGATACGACTGACTTATACATCGCGGGCTGATTTTCTAGAAAATCCACATTTCCAAAAAAACACGAGAAAACGTGATTTTATTTCAATTCTTGGTCAAAATCACGTGAACCAAGTTGTTGCAAATTTTGTCTTTGAAATTCTGTATATCCAGCAATAGTGTCTTGAATTGTTGTCTGAAGTGATTGTCTCCTCCTACTTCTGTGTGAACCACTCCTAACAGGAGCTCGAGAGCTTTCGCCTAATCTATGAGGTGTGTTCCCACGTCTAACACTTGCTTGAAAATTTTGTCTCCCTCGTTGATGGCCTCTACGAACTGTTTCATTGGTATCTTCATTCAAATGATGAGTCCCATCATCAGTTATAACACGATACACTTCTTATTCTTCTTGCGTCTCATGGACTTGTGTTTGTGGCACATCGCCACTATCAGTGTCTGATCCATTGTCACCTTCTTCATCAACTACACGTTGTTGATCAACTCTTCTCTTCGTTGGCGTGCAGAATGTTAAGATTGTGATTGAACATCATGTAGTACGAAACACCGTACCATCACATCCCAATAATTTGGCAGCTTTTGATTCAAACTTTTTGTTAATTTACATTCCTATAAGTATAAAATCATTATAATATTTTATATGTATTTTTGTTACTGTAAGAATTGTATATACTTACGAGTTCACATTCTTTCCACTATGCATCAGACGAATATATCATAGAGGTATCAGAATCAACCGAGATACCAGTAAATATCATAAGAGTCTTCCACCTCTTATAATTTTGTTTTGAGTTCATCAAGCTTGTTTTTGAAGAAACCATAAGTTACATTCATATTGAATACTCGGTTGAATTTGTTAACTATGTGCTCTCTATCAGCAGAAATTGGATTCTTAAGAGTATAATTATCCATGGCAAATGCTTCGTCAAATAATTGAATTAATGTTTTTTCTTGTATGTTTTTCCATTTGTATTTGTATTTATTCTAAAAATTTAGAAATTATAACATTAGCATTTAATATAAATTTTAAAAATTTATAAGTCAGTTTATTTAAAACTTACCCTTAAAGTTGTTTTTGTAGGGGGAGTCAAGTCTTCTACTGGTCGATTTAAATTTGTTGGTTTGCAAGAATTGGTGTTTCGCTGACGGTTTGACGGAATTGCTGTTTTAAATTAAAATATACAAATGAAGATTAACTATTGAATAACTATATCATCACTTTTTGTAATAGTTATCTATATTATAATATAGTTATAAAATTTATTTTGTTCTCTGATTAAAGAACATATCACGTCTTCTTCTTCTTCTTCTCTTGTGGAACAACACGTCTTTTTCTTCCTTTTCTGAAATGTGAATGGTTAAAAGAGGATTAGAAACTAAAGTTTAATAATGTTGTTTTATTAATAAAAAAAAGACATCAATTTATTCATTGCATTTTTGAAGGAACCACATAATGGGTGTAGGGCGTTTCATTAAAGGATTAAATAACAAATAGTTAAGCACTACCCAATAAAATTTATACATGATTTTATTTAGTATCCTTATTGTATAAAAAAATTCATATAATTTACATAACCTAATCTAAAATTCTATATTTTAAACAGAATATAATAATCAAATATACTTGTATAAAGTGTATATTGTATAATTTGAATTTTAATTTGAATTGATGTATTATTAGTTTACTTAAATGCATTGATTAATTAGTAAGTAATTATATCATCACTTTTTTTCTATAAAAATAAGTTTATCAAAATAATAAAAGTTACAACTAAATCTTACATTTTTTTATTTCAATTTTGAACACATCTTCTTTTTTTCGTGGAGCAAAATGAACATTTTTGTGAGAAACACGTCTCTTTGCTTCTTATTTTTTTTTGGAAATGTGAATGCTTAAAACAGAATGAAAAACCAAGACTTTATAATTTTGTTTTATTAATTAAAAAATAAGACATCAGTGCATTTACTGCATATTTTGCAGGAACCACTGGGTAGTAGGAGTGGGGCGTTTTTGAATAGCTGATTTTATCTTCTGGTCAGTCAAAGTGCCTCGAATTGTGCACTGCGTTTTTAGTCGTTTTTTATAAAAAAAATACAACTGTTGCGTAATTTTCTGATTGGTGACATTAGTGTGTTTTTCCAACCGCTCTTGAAATACGCCCTGCACATGTTCCCATTCATTACCTATATATGTGACATTTTTGTTCAGTAAAAGCATCTCCAATGCAATCCTATTTTATTATATTTAAAAAAATAGAATAATTTTATTATAGAGGTGGATTGGCTCCAATAGTAACTCTTTATAATTAAATTACTCTATCATATAGAAGGATAGACTATCAAACCAAACCAATGGTATCTCTTTATAACAAAATTACTCTATTATAGAGAAAGACTAACTTTTTAAACTTGTCAAAACCTAACTTTTAACCAAAAATCAAACATTTTGGTTTGGTTTATAAGATTTGGTTCATTTGGTTTCCACTCTAGGCATGCTCTAACTACCGCATTCCAAGGATGAGTTTTGGTTATACTATTTAGAGTCATCTCCTCTATTGCCCTCACTTGTGGTAAAGTCAATATCCTATGTGCCTCTCAAATCTCATATACCCCATAATTTTAATGAAAGATGCGTTATAACAAAATTACTCTATTATAGAGAAAGACTAACTTTTAAAACTGGAGTTATACTGAGTGTAGTTATAGTAAATATTACTAAGTGTAGTACTGAGTATTACTAAGTGTAGTTGTTCCGTTTTACTGAGTTATACTAGTTATACTAGTAACTGAGTAATGTAAGTTAATTATAGTGAGTTCAACTGAGTTCTATTGGTTATACTACGTAATACGAAGTACTACTCAAGTAGTTGTACCGAGTTCAACTGAATTACTAATGTCGAGTTATATTGAATCCAGATCTAAAGATGAAATAAATAGACAACACGAAACATTTATTTCAAGGAGAACAAGAACAATAAAATCACTAAATCATAAAAAAAAAAACTAGAGATATTTTAACTACTCTAAATTAAAAAAAAAAAAAACAGAACAATAAGAACCCTAAAAACAAGTAGATCTATAAAATATCAGATCTCTTTCCTGTTTTATCACCTTTTCGCCGTCACATTAGGCTGTGGGATACCACAAATCTGTTTTTTCCTCTGGTTTTCAGATATAATCTCAGGTTTAAGCGATGCATTTTTTCTGTCATTTTTGATTATGTGATTTTTAGATTTGATGTGGAAGAAGAAAGAAGAAAAAAAAAGAAGTTGCAGAGAGGAAGAGAAAAATCGCAGAGAAAATAGTGAAGGAAAAAAAATGAGAAAAGAAATTGAAAGAAAAAAATGTCGGCAGTTCCACTTTATTAAATTAAATTAAAATATCAAAGGGTAATTTTGTAAATGTCTCAATTTATGAAATAAAAAGATATGAATTTTTAAATAAAATTAGCATGAGTTCTTAAAAGATTGGATTATAACATATATGGGCAAGAGAGCCATTGATTCATGTTACTGAGCCAAATTTATACTGCTAAGTCAAAGAAAATGGCGGAAACAATTACCTGGCTGCTATCCGATAATTTTTCCATTACCACTTCAGAAATTACTTAGTAACTGCTCTGGCGGACTGATCAATGCCACTCTCTGACGATACGACAAACACTGACTCGTGAGAGATTTGTATTGATCAGTCCCAAGATCATGGCTGTTACACTGAAAGCTCGATAGTATGGTGATGTTGTCTGATCGCATTTCAAGGCGATAAGAACTTCTAGAGATCCAGTTACATGTCCTGGGCTCTTGACGTGATGATCAGTATGTGGGATTTTATGGCCTGTGCGGAACGCATGACATGCTTTGTGGCAGAAACGACTGGTTGATCGTGAGTGTCTTTTTTGATGGAGAGCGACTGAGATGCAGGCTGAATGGAGACGCAGGCTGAATGGAGAGCGACTGAGATGCTGGTCAGAAATGGTTGTGATGATTCATAGTTATATTGTTCTGTCTGATTAGAAGGTGATCAATAACTGACTGTGGAGTGTTAGTGTGACTAACATTCTTTTTGTATACGAGATGGCTCTTTGTGAGACTAACATTCTTTCTGTATACGAGATGGATCTTTGTGAGACTGGGCCGTCTCTCTTTACGGGGATGGTTAGTTGAGTGACTAAGGAATCCGGAGATGCGGTGAAGTGTTTAATTGAGCTAAACATGGCGAGGGGCATGGTGACAACATTTTTTCCGGTTAGGTGGATGATTGAGAAGTGAAGCCATAAGTGAACCAAACTGCATTGGCTAAGGTACATGTTTAAACAACCGCGATAGCTTAGTTAATTCAATAGATTGCTGGATTCAATAGATTCACCTGTCCTACACTTTTTTTCATGTCACCAATCAAAATAGTTGATAAATAACAACGTAAGTAAGACTTTCGAAGAAACAATCAGAAACGACGAAACAATAAGAGTAACAAAAAGCATGTTTTCATATAAAGGTCACTCCATCACTCGAACTATAGTTCAAAGCTCTGGACTGAGTCCAACTGATTCTATACTATTCTTGGTCAGTTGTAACTTATAGATGTTCTATTCTTTTTTCTTCACAGCTACAAATTCCTGGGTATATGCCCTAAGTAATGGCTGATTATAATCTGATTCTAAACAACAAATATAACAACTTTCCAAGAAAACTCCCCGAATCGCCACGAACACACCAGAGGTTCAGTTGGAATAAACTGTTAGGGGCCCTTTGATCAAGCTACAGAGCACACCTTGTCTGCAAAAGTCAACAGAGATACCCAGATTATACCATAAATACATTATTCACATTTGGTTAATTATGTTGAAGATTTAAGCATAATACCTTGTCTAATGCTGCTACAGCAAAGTCGATTGTCGTCTATATAAGTTGCCTGAACACCAATCATCCAAGATCCTATAGAGGTATCATCAAATGCATATGTCTTCAACGATCCACTGCACATAACAGAGAATAGAAAATTTGTGATACTTGAGATTTGGACATGTCAACGACATACTCTTTTGTGACCCCAACCTGTTTATGTTTATGTACTGAGCCAAATTCTTGGATAGTATTATAAGCGAACCAGCTGCATGACGAAAGTATCTAGAGACAACGAAGGATAAGTATGACTTTAGCACATCATAGTTGCATAATGTTAAAGAAGTATATAATATTTTCAATCACTTACGATTTCCCATCCCCAAACTTCCACCATTCTGGCTCGTACCATTGCCCTCCCCTAAACACAAAGACCCATAAACAGAAATCAAAAAGGTTTCAAAAATGTAAGAAAATTGTATGTGATACGAACTCTTCCGTAACAACTTCCCCAGACTTCATGCACCCAATATAAGACGCATCTTGACCACGCCGACTTTCAAGGAGGCCAATCAACCCCTCTATCATTTAGCACAAAAAAAAGAAAAAAAAGAATTGGTGGTTCAGAATAGGATCAAACAAAACTTAACAAGATAGGAAATATCTACCAAGATCTAGGTCAATATTGTCGTCAACTTTGATGTAAAACTCTGCATCCCAGTTCTGAACAGCCGCACTGAAGAAGAACTTCACTTTCTTGGGTAACTCTTCTTGTGCCTCCTCGTGATTCTCCTAATAAACCCAGTATTGGCAAAAAAAAAATAGAAGCCACATAAGTGAGCAAAAAACTGTGTGCGCAGAAATAAATAAATAAGATAATTCAATGGAACCAAAAAAAAAACACTTAAGTTTTTGATATGGTTAACTTACAAGAATCAGAAAGTCTTTTTTTGCTCGATCTTCCTCATCAATCTTTCGATCTAGGCTATCACCTCGGTTTGGACTGGAATTCTTAAAACATCAGCATCAGTATTACAGTCCATGAAGTGATAAGAAGCAAACTTAATATAAAGAAACAAAGATAAAAAAAAATTAGTGGAAGAACCTTCGACCAATCACAAAACGTATGACAACTCCTCTCTCCTCAAGTTTCTTCAAAGCATCACCTATAACCAAAAACATTAGTGTTCAAAACAAACGGTTCTTACAATCAATCACAGCATGATGATCTTTATACCTTGTGGCATCCAAGACCCTCTAAATGTATTTCTCCTCAAATGACTTCCAAAGCCAGTATAGACTCCAATTACAGCAAGCAACCTTTTCCCTGAAGAGGACCCACTTTTCAGATAGCCTTGACTCTTTGCCAGAGTCAATTCCATTTCAGTTTCAACAATCTTCCTCTCAAGATCTCTAATAACAATCACAACCACAACATCAAAACACAATGGAATCTGGCACAATCACAAAAACAAATAAGAAAATCAACTTACTTGCATCCGAGAACCATCAGCTTCTCATCCACCGTAAGAACCTTAGGCTTCTACATTAATATATCAATAAGAAGTGGCTTCCAGAAACAAACAAGCTTTGAAAGAAAGAACAAACCTGATCATAATTCTTCTTAAGCATATTATTGAGTATCACTCTGTTCTCTGAATCTTGCCATAACCTAACACAAACAAGGATTTAGGAATCCGTGAGATTTATCGAATTTAACTGAGAAAAAGTGTTCGATCGACATATCAAATCTATAAGAATGGATCAGAGGAAGGAATGTAGAGTAATCGAAGATTTAATTTTCCATCGATCGGATCAACGAAAATAAAGGACGTACCGGCCAGCGACGTAGAGCCAAGCGACGCATGAGAAGAAAGCCATGATAACGGAGGGCTTGGAGGTACTCTGAGATTTGGAGGATCTTCCTCGTCGTTCTGATTTTGAAAACGAAACCGTCGTCGTGGGTAAGGTTTCCATCTCAATCCACGATCAGAGGAAAGAGAGAGAAGGAACTCTGAAAGTGATTTTAACGTTCTTTCTTCGTCACGCTCGTGTTCTAGACTCTCATAGGGGAATTAAAGTTCCTGCCAAAGTTTTTAATTTTTCACTAGTGTTAGAGACCTTCTCTATAATCTAGAAGGTTAGGTTTGATTTCTATTTATTTTTCCCACCTAATAATTTTGAGTTGATCCACATTTTATCTTTCACTTACATTGAGAAGCATTTCCACTTATGACACTTTTTAGTCGGGTCAAGGTATTTATTTACCAAAATTACTTTTGTAAAAAATAAATAGATGATTTGAATTTTAAATTGAATGAATGAGATTGAATCTTCGAAAATAGGTCAATTTGATAAAGACATGATATAATCGCTTGTGTTCGATGTGAATTCTGTGGATGGTTGACTTGTGATCGGTTGAGTTGTGTTCCATAATACCTTGTGTCCACACTTTTCCTAACTACACTAATGTTGTTCAAACCCATCCGGCAAAAAACTCCAAAGCGTGATCTATGTGTATCCATACTATTTTGTATGTGTTTAATCTATCCACACAAACAACATATTTCATCCATATCAACATTTTTTCATATATATTTACTTTTTCATCCATGTTCACATTTTTTCATGTATATTTGTTATGTCCATATCCACAAATAATTTCTGAAAATATTAGTATTATATATATATATATATATATATGAAAATGAATGTTAAAAGATAAATGATTTTATACATGATTTATCGTAATTATATGTCCAAAATAAAAGTCACAAAAAAATCATGGACCATTCAGCAATCGTGAGGAGGTCTGAAAATACTCTATCGAGTGTTTGAGGACTGATTAGAGGGATATTTCTGTAAAATGTAAAGTTTGGAGCCGATTTATAAAAAATAAAAGCTATGAAGATCAAATGTGCAAATAAAGCAAAAGTGACCATTGGCCTCTCAAGCTTCTCTTGGTTGTAGATCCCAACGGCAAGACCTGATACTGGCGACGATGACCAAGACACGATGACAAATGGAGCTCTTGGATTTGTCTATCCACACCGGCGAACCTTGTTTCCGAGAACGGAGCTTGCCATAGGAGCTAAACGGAGATCTACGAACTTAACCTCAAGATCGAAGAAACTCGAACGCTTCTTCAAGCTTTTTGCATTCTTCGTCAGATCCGATCATGTAAATTTGTTAGTAACACGGCAAGTTTTTAGCAAACTTTAACTTCTTTTTCTTCATCACCATTACTCTCTCAGCCAAAAAATAAAATCCAGAAACTACAACTCTCAGTCCTTTTCTCATTTTTCTACCATCTCCTCTTTCATCTCTCCTTGTTTCTCAGAAGCTATAACTCTAGTTTCTTTCCTCCTTCGCTAACCTATCTCCTCTTCCATCTCTTCTTTTCTCTTTGATTTCTCTTTGTGACCCCACTGCTATTCACGTGTGTAAGTACAAGTTTGGTTGGTTTAATTGGAGTTAGGGTGTTTTGGTCAAAACACACACAGAAGTGTGCTTCAGGCATGAAGTGCCTTTTGATGTGATCAAAATAGAGAAGTGTCTCTGGAAGTAAAAAATTCAATAATTTTCAGATCAGGGAAAGCTCTCTTATGGATTTTCAAATCGTTTTCAAACTCTCGACAATTCCAAGCAAATGTTTGCATAGCTAAAGACAACGATAGTGTCTGGTATCAAAAAACTATTATCATTTGTGGATGAATCTTTTTTGATGATCAGTCAATCCAGGTTTTAATAATAATTCAATGAAATTCTTTGTTTTGATTACTAATAAGTTGACCAAACTAATGTAAGTGAAGAAGATAAAGAAATAAGGTAAATTCAGGTTTAAATTTCTTATCTTCACTAACTTAACTTCAATGAATACATAGGGTAGCAATATATACAATCACACAGAAGGATTTAGGACTAGATTAGCTGTCATGATGACTCACTCATTTACAGCTAAGAGGGAATCAAATCTATTGTAAAGTTGTGGCTGTGACTCCTCTTTTGGCCTTGTCCTTGCAGGTACATACTTGGAGACCATTGCAAAGGAGGGAAGCATGCTCTGTTCTGTTTTGTCTTCATTCACGTATGGGCCTTGGCTTGGCCCATTGGGTACTGGACTTACATTCCCCCTCAAACTTGGAGTGGGCTGTTGACAAACTCCAAGTTTGGACCGAAGATCGCAGAATCTCCTTCTCAGAAGAGACTTAGTGAAGACATCGGCGAGCTGAGATTCTGACGGTATATGTTGAGTCTCAATCAATCATAAGGCCACTTTCTCTCTGATGTAGTGATAGTATGTATCGAAATGTTTTGACCTCTTGTGAAGTGCTGGATTCGTGCTCAAGTAGACTGCAGAGAGATTGTCACACTGAAGAGTAGTTGAATGTGTCTGAGATATCCCAAAGTCTCTAAGCAGAAGTGAAATCCATGTAATTTCTTGAGCTGTAGAGGCGAGAGCTCTATATTCTGCCTCTGTCGAAGATCTTGATACCGTCTCTTGCCCTTTTGCTGAACAAGAAACCATATTGACCCAAGGAAGATGGCAAAACCTGTCGTCGATCTTCGTGTAGCTTTGCAACCAGCCCAGTCACTATCAGAGAAGGCTGTAAGAGATAGGTCTCTATCTTTCTTGATGACAAGACCCATTGAGACTGTCCCTTTGATATACCTTAATATCCGTTTTAGAAGACAGAAGTCTGATACTGCTGGAGAGTGCATCCTTTGATAGATGAAGTTCACAACAAACTGGATATCAGGTCTGGAGATCGTCAGATACTGCAATTTCCCTGCGAGGCTTCTGAAATATGTTGGCTCCGAGAAAAGGGTTGTATCCAAATCATCCATCTTTAGAGGTAATGAGGTAGGCATGGGGTTACAGTTGATCATCTAGGCTTGGTAGAGAATGTCATTAGCATAAGCTGTTTGGTGTAGAAACATCCCATCAACATCTTTATGTACCTCAACACAAAGAAAGTAACGTGGCTCTCCCAAGTCTTTCATCGAGAATATTTTTTCAAGGCTTGGAGAAGACTTTGTAGTAAGTTTTCGTCATTCCCAGAGACTAGAATATCATCAACATATAACAACATGACTAGTGTCTTGTTGTTGTGATGAAACACAAATAGAGACGGATCTGCTTTGCTGCATTTGAAGCCAAAGTCTATGAGGAATGAGCTGAAGATATCGAACCAGGCACAGGGAGCCTGCTTAAGGCCGTATAAAGCCTTTGTGAGCTTGCAGACGTGATTTGGCTTATTAGTATCAACAAAGCCGGGAGGTTGCTGTTGGGCCCAAATATGGCATGTTAGCTAAAAATAGCAGATCAATTAATTCAGCCTAATGATGGGCCGCAATTGAGTTATCATTTCGAGACAGATCGAAGCTCACTTAAAGAGGGAGGCTATTTCCGGGGATTCTTACAAGAGAGGTCACGGAAACGAGGTCACGGAAAAGAGGTGACGGAAAAGAGGTCCGACTTCTCTTTTGGGGGACCTAACAAATATAGCTCAGGATACGAAGTAAAAGGCGTACGATTCAGTCAAAGTCAGGCTGTTGCAAATCCCACAACTTACGGAGGCAATCTCGGAGGTTCATTGGGAGAAGTTAAACGTGACCTAGGGCTATTTAAAGGGAGAAGAGAGGAAGAAGAAGAAGGGAGAGAGATTTTTGGCTACTAATTTTCACATACATTATTACTCACAAGTCATTCAGCGATTTCTTTGTATTCATCTTAATCATCTTTGTAACCCTTATTCATCAATACAATCATATTCATTCTTTAAGTTCTAACAGGATTCAGCCCACAATTGTCTTTTCCCCAATCTAAACCTAACCTAAACTAGAGAGTGAGTTTTACCCCTCACATTTTGGCGCCAACTGTGGGGACGTGATAATTGAATCCTTCACTCCGTAACTTGAGAATGGATCTATCCAATCAGGCAACGAGCCCATCTATCCCTGATCCCGTGATCCAGATCGACGGCTCACCGAACAGGAGAGACCCGGATCCTCAGAATCCGGAACCTTTATCCGCCGATCACCGATCCGAGCAACAGCCTCCGGCTAATGCCCAACCGAACCAAACTGGAATAACTAACCTAAAATCTTCCAGTGGAAACAACTCGGGGGTTACACACCCCGAAAACCCTCAGCGTCAACCCGCTCCGAATCATTCGGAAGCTCAGCTATCCGAGATGCGTCGAATGATGGTGCAATTGGTAGAAAGAGCTCAGGATAATGAGCGCACGTTGCAACAGCTAACTGCTCGACAGCAACGATTCGAAGAGGTGACTAGATCTCTAACCGAGACGACTCATCTGTCGCAACGTCAAGGATCGGGAGTCACCTTCCTAGACTGACTGACCGAACCCACGTTCCCTCGCGGACGTCTGGACTTTTCCCCCAATAGCACTGCTCAAGATGGGCAAGAATCTGTTCTCCGGACACCTCATGCTGGAACAACCCCAGCATTCAGTCCACCCGTAACCAGCGATATGGGAAGTAACATAGCAACAACAAGCTATGCACCCAACAGGGTTCCCGAACAAAGCACACGTTTACCTTCTCCGCCACCTGTTTTTAGGTCCGGAGAAGGAATATCTTTCCCTCCTAGGGGAAGAGCATCAGCTTCTGCTTATCAGACTGGGAGCGCGATCCCAAACCGAGACAGCCACCAGAGGACGGAAGCTGATCCTACAGCTCACCTCCCTGGTCGCGTCCCTCAAAATGGCCCTAGAGCTAGTGAGCGATTTAGCCCACCTAATGCTTGGGAGAACGACCACACTCGACTCCGTCAAGAATATCTCCATCAGATTCATCATGACGACCCAACCGTCCTTCCCCTAGAGGGACCTGAGGCTATCCGCCGATACATGGAGCAAACTCACGCAGCTCTCCAAAAGTTGAATGCTCAAGTCCACAAAGCAACAAGCTCAGCTCCCGAAATCGAGAGCTTGATTGAGGAAACCCGTGGAACCCCATTCACAAACAAAATTGCTAGCTCTTACATAAGAGATACCCGAAAGATTAGGATCC